AATATCTTGATTCTGAATCAAATTCTCCTCAACAGCACTATAGCAAATGTATGCAGAGCAATGAGGAGAATTGGACATTTTAAGGTTGCGTTGGAGACTGGCTCGGTGTTGAATCGAATTGCACTATGGGACTGTTTTGGGGGCGAGTTGTGAACCAGTTTCCCGCGTAATAGCCAATAGCCAATAAAAAGCTCTTGATTGCCAGTTTCCCTCGTAACAGCCAATAAAAAGCTCTTGATTTCCTTAAAACAGTGCCATAACCAGCCCAAACTCAAAATGGCTAACATGGCGTTGCAAAGGATTAGGACATCATAGTTTATCATGGAAAACACTGAAACAATTCGTTTTCTTTCCTTTTATAGTTTTCAGTAACTACTCCAGCAGCGACAAGTCAACTAAAGGAGAAGTGTCACAAAACTTTTCATAATTCAAACGGTGGGAACTGGGTATCTGCTGATCGTGCACGAAAATAACTGTCCCTTAACAATCGAAGAAAAGGGGAGGGAGAGTGTCCTTTATCGGAAGTCGGACATATCGTGATTTCATTGTAAAAAAGGAGGTGCAAGAAAGAAAATACGCCATAAGGAGGTTTATTGTTATCATAGTGTCGTAAAACAACACTCTTGGTATCAACTTTGGCCAATCATCAAAAGAGATGGCAATCAAGTGAGCCAATCAGATATTAAAGCATATAAATCTAGCGGCCGGTGCCAGCAAGCGCGGGAAAACACTCATGACTCAGGACTGGTTTTACTTAATGGATGATAAAGTGCAGCGATAAAAAGGGCAAAATAACCATGCAGATTTCTTTTAAAAATCAACTGAAAAGATCTCAAAAAAAAAAAAACGTAGAAGGAAGAAGTGGTCATAGCAGAGCTCCCAAGCCCTCTGAAAGCGGAGATTACTTTCATCAATTTGTACGATAAAGGTTTTTGTTCGCCTCTCCCAATGACTAATCCCTCGGGTCACAAAGTTAACTGTTCCGTAGGGGCAAGTTCTCTGGTCCCAGGGGTTCTCTTAAAATTTTTTCTTAGCGTGAGAGAGAGCGAGCCGCGACTCGTTTTCGCCCCTTCACGACTCGCTTTCGCGCGGAGAAAATTTTCCAGAAAAAACCTCTGGGACCAGGGAACAGCACTATTCACCAAGTGATTCTTATTTCACGGGTGGTGATCGTTGAGGGGCTTCAATTTTTTTATATGCCAAAGCAAAGGTTCGAACTTAGTTCACTTCCAAGCATTGATCTAAGTAATTTTCATTGTTAGCCCTTGTCTCATAAGCATATACAAGACACAAAATGTTATTGGCACAAAGAGGACGCAAATTGGAAAGGTCCCCCCCACCTGAAGCTTGACCTGCCAGAAAGGAAGAAAGGGAGACCTAATTCTGAACTTCAAACCACACAAAGACTTCGTCAACTCAGCCTTCAGTGAGAGATTTGGGAGCTTAAGCATCTACGACGGCAATGGCAGCGAAAACGTCACACAAGTGAATTCGCGCTGATTCAAACATCTTCGCTTTTATTCCATCTCGTGCAATTTGACAATATTGGCGAATTTTTCTGCTGTTGAATTCTAAAGGACTGTACCTAAGTTCAAGAAAAGAAACTTGTTCACGTCCATCATAAATAGAGCAATAAGGAAGTTTTGCGTTGTAGTCGTGCAGTGACGGCAAGGAAATCTACAAAAGAGCGTGATGAACGTGGCAAAGTTGTTGTTTTGCTAATGAAACGTATTACTTTTTTGCCGTTCTCGTTGCCGTCGCGGTCGTTAATAGGGAGCTTTAGCAATGACGACGGCGACGGCAACCAGGACGCCAAAAAAGCAATAGGTTTATTACGCAAAACAACAACTTTGCACGTGCATCACGCTTTTTTGTACACTTCTTCACCGTCCTTGCACGACTACGACGTGAAAATGCCTAATTGCAAGTTTTATGGAGGACGTAAACAAGCGACGACGAATCTCTTTTTCTCTCTCTAAACTTGAGTGCGGTGCTCAAGAAATCAACTCCAGGGAAATTCGCCTACACTTGTCATTTTCAGCAAATTGGAATAAACGCGACAAAGATTGAAAAAACGGGAATTGATTTTAAAACTGACGTTTTCGCTGCCGTTGCCGTCGTCAATGCTAAAGCTCCCTATTGCTAAAGCTCCCTGCTGTTGAGAAAGTTGCTGCTCGTTCTCAGTGTTCCTCATAATTTATCATCACTTGAGTGTAAGAGTCGTGTTTAAGATCAAATATTTGATACCTCTACATTAAGCGTGCTAAGAAAACGGTCTACTTAACCGTTTTGGCCAAAGTCATAATTCAACAAAAAATGAGCTCTTTCCCACTGAGCGTGAGTTGAGAAAGGTCTTTCGTTTGTTCATCTTGCTTTACATAACTTACAATTCTGGATACCCAAAGATAGTGTTTTTTCCTACACAACTTAAAAACCTACATTTTTTTTTATCTTTTATCAGAATTTATCAAAAATAAGGTATATATTTCTGTCTTTTATAACTCTCTTATAAAAGAGAAACTTCTACGTAAAATGCATTTCGGACAAGGATGGCATAAAATGCCTCTCTACAAAATCTTTTGCAACCTTAACGCAGGTGATCATACAAAGATAATGCAACGACTATGTTTAGGATAAGATCGAAATCGCTTATCAGCACGCTACTTGGTTTTGCCGTCAAGAGATGTTGCGCTAAAACACGGTGCTTAAACGGAAAATTGCAACGATGACACCGGTCAGACAAAAACTCACTAATAAAGTGAAATCGAATCGTCTTATGGAGAGAATGGAGGACGTGAATAAGGGATCACCAGTTTTCTTTTCTCTCTTTGAACTTTTTTGCGACCTCTCCACGAATATTTGCCTTCTTTTAGCTTATAAATGAGGTCTAAAAAGTTTTTTTGATCACATCTATAGGCCAAAAAAAGGCGAATTCTTCTGGAGAGGTTGCAAAGATCTTCAAAGAGAGAAAATATAAGTCGTGATCGGTTTTTCACGTCGTCCATAGTCTCCCTAAGACGTCGCATTAAGCCTGATTTCAATACAATATCCGGATCGTTTCCATCGCTTGAGTCGCCTAAGAATGGGTTCAATCGAGGCGATCATACGGAAAGACCTTTGATGTGATGCAGGACGATTCGGAAGACTGATGGGATCGAACATTACTAAAATAAATAGCCGGCTTTCAATATAATCGTCCTCCAAAATCGACGCGATCGAGACGATCCGGACAAGTAGTGGCCATTTTAAGATTGCACGAGAAACTGGGTCCGTGTTGTGTCAAACTGGATTATTCTGACACAGCACCCTTTAAAAGCCGATACAAGAAACGAAAGACTTCACTGTTTCCAAAGCTCTCCTCGTCATCTTAAACACTTACTGGTGTTATCGCAACTTACGGAAACACGATAATGTTTCCAATTTTGCTAAAGGAAAACCAACCGGTGATATTACTGTTCGGTGAACTGTGTTTTCCCCAGAGAAAATAACACCTTACTATTGCATTTCAAAGAATGTCAAAGGTGAGTGTCTAATTTGTCCTCACCCCCCTGTTGCTCCTTGGCAGCAATGTCTTTTTCTTGTTCTTGTTTTTCACCCACAGAGTCCTGTCCTTGCATATTCTCAGAACCGGTGAGAGGAGGACTCTCAGATGGACTTCGTTGTGTTTCGGTCAGTGTCTCGTTTTCCTTGTCTAGTTGTTTCTCTGCTGATTGTTGATTGTCATCGGCTGATTTCTGCACCTCTTCAATTTCCTTCTCTCCTTCTTCTGCACACTGTTTCTCGCTCACATTTTCACTACTTTCGTCCTTGGAAGTACTCTCGACTTCGTTTGCTTTATCCAGTGTTTCCTCTTCCTCCTGAACACTTTCGTCTTGTTGAGACTTACCACCCTCTGCCCCCACGTTTTCTTGCTTTTCCCCCTCTTCCTCCCTTCCCTCAGCAATGCTTTCAATCTCTTCCAGTTTCTCGATATTCTCTTGAGGAAATAGTTCGTCCAGCAATTCGGAATTGCGTAATTTCCACTCATAAATTGACCTTCGGTTGATTTGTGGCTGGTTAAGAAGCTCTTCAAGGTCAGAAAGATGCTTCTCTTTATCCTACAAACGCAAGAAGATAGTTGTTGTTGGTAGTCCAGAATGCGAGATTACACTGATACCACCATTAACGTGCGACTTCGCCCAACTCCCTGCTGTATGGTGATCAAAACTCTTCACAAGCATTTGCCTATTTTATGGGGGTTTCTTTACTATAAAGAGTGAAAATCATAGCGGAGTTCGGAACTATTCCTTTCACTTGCGTTTTCTCCAAAAAACAACATGAGTTTTACTTACAGTTATTCTGAAATATCACGCTCCAGCTCTTTTTGAGGGGGAGGGGGGGGGGGCACCTGCACTGGAAGTGAGGCTTCAAAGCAGAGCAGCTTTTTAAATTCTATTTCGTGGTATTTCGATAATAATTGAACCCGAAGGGGTTATACAGCAGTTGGTAAGACTTACTTTATACTAGTGCACAGTAATATCTTCTGATGTTGTTTTATTTGTGGAAGTTGAGCTTGCAAAGTCCACGAAGTACTTTAAGGGATAAATTTCGCTACGTTCTGAAAACGTCCATTAGTTTTGATACTGCTTTTTTGTTTGCCATTTACACACACATTTATTTTGAAAATCTCCAGTAGCTTCGGAGTTAAATGTATATGGAGGGCCATACCGAAAAAGGAAAGAACGCTGACACACATTTTACAAACTTTAAAGAACGTACGGAAAGCGCCAGCGTGAAGATGGTTACCCGCCGTTTCGAGACAAGTCAATTGAGAGAAAAGTCGTTTCGAGACAAGTTGATTCAGTCGAAGGGAGAAATATTCACCCCGAGTGTTTTTCTTTTTCACGCGTAAACAATACTTGGAGTGATCGAAATTGTTGTGCAGTCTCACTGCCTGAGTTCGTATCGAAGAGACTTGTGTCGAAACAACTTGTATCGAAACGATCTGTTTCCGTGAAGATCCTTTCCGTAAAACTCACCTTCAGAGTTCTTTCCAATGTTCTAAGCCGCAGGAGCGTCTTATCATCCTCTTTTGCATTGGAAAACGCCCGCAGTCTTTCTGCACCATCCACCACTGGCTCACCATATATTGATAGGCGCGCTTTCCTAATATTTCGGCACATCACCATAAACTGATCCTCTTCGGGCAACGACGAAATCGATTCCCGGCCGCTGTTAGTCGACTTAATTGAGCTTCTGTCAGAGGACTTTCGGCGCTTGGGAGACTTTTCTTCGTCGGCCTCAGGTGCCACTGACCAAGCCTGCTTTCTGTCTAAAGAGAAGTACCATTTAGTTTTAGATGGGGACAGTGGTGGGGTTACCGATGGCTCGCTCTCCAACTGTTCGGCAGAACTAGCTTCTGATGGCGTTACTTCCTCCATGATTTCTGGTTCTGAGGTCTGCTGGGAAGACTGCCCTACTTTCTCAAATGTAGACACTGTAGTCGAGGTCTTGACTGTTTCGGAGATTTCAATGGAGGATTTAACAGTTTCTACAACCGTAACTGTGCTTTTCGTCGTTGTGACGCTCACAACTCCATCCGCTCTATCCACAGCAGATTCGGCCTCTGTCGACAATTCCTGCTTTTCTGCCTTTTCTGACACTTCTGCAGAGATCTTGGAGCTTTCTTCAGTTCCTCTGTCTTTTTCTGGGACTGCATCACCAGAGCTTGGTAACAATGGTGTTTCCACGTCAGGTGAGGATGCCTCAACAGAAGATGTTGACTCAACAATCACTCTTTCACTTCCCACAAACACCTTATCTACCATCACGGAGACAGTTTGTTTAGTGGTTTTAAACTCTTCGCTTGCAGGTTTCTCTTCTTGACTGTCCTCTGTGGATTCTGAGAGAGAAGGGGTGACGACTAGTACTGTTTGCTCTTTGATTGGCACTTGGGTCGATTCTCCAGGTGCTGGTGGTGCATCGCTTGATTGTGTTTTTTGGTGGTCAATGGATGTCGGGGTCGTGTCTGGAGCGACACTAAGTGTTAAATCTGTGTCGCTAGGTGCCAAGGGTGCATCACCGGGTGTTGGAGCTGTGTCGCTAGGTGCCAGGGGTTCATCGCTAGGTGCTGTGGATGCATCGCTATCAGGTGCCAAGGGTGTATTTCCAGGTGCGGTGGGTGAATCGCTATTAGGTGCCAAGAGTGTTTCATCGGTTTTCGGAGCTACGTCGCTAGGTGCTGTGGGTGCATCGATATTAGGTGAAACGGATGTAGGTGCTGTGAGTGCATCGCTAGGTGCCTCACTTGGTGCCGATGGTTTGTCGGCACTAAGGGTTGTGATTGCACCGCTAGGTTCATCCTTCGGTTGTTCTTCGAAAGATTCTGGGAGTGTGACACTGGGTACAACAGTTTCTTTACCTTTCTCCTCTGTTTCCTTGAGTATTTCCTTGCTGAAGGAACCAGGCATGGACCTCCGACGGGTGGTCTTGAAATCTTCTACGTCTTCCAAAAAGTCGTGACGTCCTCCAACAGCTAGGAGAATAAAATAACACGCGCGCATATTCACGTTAAGTTGAAGTAGTGAGTTCTGGTTCAGATCCTCTTTTCCAGTCTCGGAAGAATCATGAAGAAGGCGGAAATTCTAATCTGTTCAGAGGAGGGGTTTCGGGTACACGGTGGGCGGGGGTGATTTCTACGGTGGTTAGAAAAAGAGAGAAAAAAGAGTAGGAAAATTCACAGATTCAATAACCCACGGTATAAAAATGGGCCACTCCTTTTAACTAATGAGAATCTCTTCGGTAAGGACAGTGAAATTCGGGAGCTTTAGCAACGACGACGGAAAAGAGGAGAAGAACGTCGAAAAAGCAATAGTTTTAATAAGCAAAACAACACGTGCACGTACAGCACACCTTTTGGTAAACTTCTTTGCCGTCCCTACTCGACCACCACGTGAAATTTCCCTACGCGACGTTTTTTTGGAGCACGTAAACACTATGTCGAATTTTTCTGTCACTTCCCGACCTTTCGTGCAGTTCCCAAGAATTCAACTCCAAGGGAAATTCACTTACCGTTGACATTTAAAGCAACAAAGTTTGAAAAAAACGTAGATTTATTTCAAAAGTGACGGTGTGGCTGCCGTCGCCGTCGTCGTTGCTAAAGCTCTCTATTAAACAGGAACAAACGAAAACCGCGAACACTAACCAAGAACAGAACTGTGGCGCTGAGCTGAATTAGTTCCTGATTTCCTTCGCATGACTACTTCATCCTTGACTGACAGCTGGTTCTGTTTGGGCAGTTTCTGAATGATTTCACCTTTGGACGCGGCTGCTAACACTCTTAGCCAATTGTCCATCTCCTCCTTACTGTCCGCCATAAACAGGTAGATTTGAGGTTTAGTTCCTGGCTGTTCACACTTAAAACAGCTGGTAAAGACAGAAAACACACCTTTCATTTAGGAAGTGAATCGGTTTCAAAATTAGGTTTCATTTCGTCCAGCCACGGGGACAATTTTCTATGGTCTGTACTCTTATCGACCATACAAACTTCTGTTATTTGAATTCCCCCCAAAAACTTTGTTTGGCCATTGGACAAGTTAAGAACGGAATCCACTAGCCCGATCGCAAAATCTTTTCTGAGCCCTGGACTATCAGACACGACTTTCTTTGCACACTTGCACGACGTCACTCTAAAACGCTGTGCTAGAAAAAGGCAAGAGTATGCTTTTTCTTTGTTCTTTCCCTCCCTCAGCAGTACGTACTGCCGAGAAGGAGAAGGTATTCGAAAGAAACACCCAACTTAACTCGGGTATAGGGGTCCGAAATATATATACATCTACCGAAAGCGTAATAATTTTCTGATTGTAGTTATGTCGCTGACTGTATCACCTACTCTCTTACTGAAGCATGTCTATGTTGCATAGCTTGATGGCGCGAACTGAAGCGACAAGAAAAACTGTTTAATTTCAGTGTACAGATTTGTTTCCCCTTCAGTAAGTATTACTAAAATGAAGATCGCTAATAACAGGACATAACTACCGATACTACGAATAGTAACAGTCGGTAATCAGACCGTAATTTCCGACCAAATTTGCCCCATTTGCGGTCAGATATGATAAGCGCACGGATAAAAACCCAAAGACTATCATTTTGAAGCCGGCGATCTGTGTTGTATTTGAAGATATTAAGAGGGAAAACAATGTAACTGAATGAAATACTGGCCATAGATTAGGAAACAAAAAGGGCAGGAAGGCTGGAATACACGAAAAACAAGGCTTTTCACCAACCCCCCCTCCCTCCCTCCCTCTAAGCGGCCCATAAATATGGCGCTCATTGGTAAGGACTTACAAGTTCTTTTTGGTTTCAGGAGCTTCTGCAACCGTGACGTCCTTCATCTTAATAATCCCGCCGGCCTCAGGGTCAAAAGCAGTTTTAAAGTAATAAAGCTTGCCATCCTTTAGTACCACCCACTTTCGCTTCCAGCTTGATAAAAACAGCATTCCACCTGTAAAAAGGATCACAGAACATGTTGCAAGTCAGAAATGGGCTCGAATCCTCTTGGAAGAACTTCGACCTTTTATTGTATTTCTCCGGGTCGCCTGTGTCTTCCAGATTTTAAATACCTTAGTCACCTTTTTGCGGGCGACAAGAGGAGCCCATAATCCTAATCTCCAGGTTGCACGGCGTTCTTTCGGACTTGCACTTAGCATGCATGGAATACACAGAACGCAATCTGATTACACGCCTTTGGTCCTCCTCTCACTGGTAATCCGATCACTAGTGTCACAGTTTGACATTCGATCACGTGAAACCTAAACAGAACACTTTTGTTGGAGCAAAAGCGTTTTGATCTTCAATCGTTGTCGTTGTAACCTTTGTTCTAAATTAACGCAACAGGCCAAGACTAGCGCTCGGCGATACGTCAGCTTTTGAATCTCTCTTCGACAGCAAGTATACTCCATTAATGCATCATCAAGAGGAACGGCTATGAGAAGTAAAACAATGATCACCAAAGAGAAAATGCCTTAACTTTATCAAATTCTCTCAAATAATTATGTCATGAAATGTATGCTTATTGCATCGACCTTTGCACTGGTCAACGCAGATCGTTTTCCTTCGTCATTGACAAAACTGAACAGATTGTCTAAATTATGAGCGGTCATACAACTGTGTTATGACTCATGAGGTTGCTACTCATTAGGAAGAAAAAATTCTGAGTTTCCTCCGCCTTTGAAACAACATTAATCATGCATTTTATACTTTTTTCCGCTTCTTTTGCAGACTATAAAATATTTTTCCCTTATTTTCGACGTTTCGTTTTGCTTCGTCCCGTTTGTTTGCTCGTTGTTGTTTTTGCAGAATGTACTTTCAGATGTAGGTTTCTTGCAGGATCGAATGCATCAAAATCGATCACCTAAAGAGTTTTCTTTCCAGACAAAACGTATGCTTTTAACATCTTCACTAAATCTACTGGCGCTCTGAACAAAAAAATTCCTCACTACTGCAAGAAATGAGATTTTCCCTGTCTTTTTTTTCCCAACCCCTTGACTTTTCGATGACCGCTGTAACCCTAATTAAAGAAATAGAGGAACCAGCATGGTGACTTTCCCACCGCAAGTTCTCGTACCTTTCTTAGAGAGCCATCCCTCGTGATCAGCCTCAGCCAGAGATCGGCAGGATACTCGAAGATCAGGTTTACCTTTAGGACTAGCTGGTTCAGAAACTTGTTCGGGTGTACCAATCACCTCAACCTCTTTACCACCTACAAAACAAAACACAGTAATCTTTAAAGGAGCCGAGTCGAGCAAATTAGGCAAATTTAGTCGTCACCAAATGGCCACCAAATAGAATGACATACAAGGGTAACTGCTCTGCCCATAGACTACGAGTAGCCCTCATTTTTCCTCAGGTATAGTAAAGCGAGCGAAACGCGAGCGCGCGTGAAAATCATCCCACGCAAGAAAGGCGAAACGCGTCTCGCCTTTCTCGCGTGGGATGACATGATTTTCACGCGCGCTCGCGTTTCGCTCGAACTACTATCTCTGAGGAAAAATGGGGACTACTCGTAGTCTACTTTGCCCAGTGATGGAACATTTAAAAACGAGAGCGCTCATTTGTTTGTTTGTTTGCTTTTTTTATTTCGAGGGTTTTAGCCTTAGAAGACAGCCGACATTTCGCGAAGACAACACCTGTTTTCCCCCCGCGAAATGACGTCTGAGGAACGAGCGAAGAAATTCCTTACAGATGACGCGTCACTACCCACATCTGGGTAGTGACACGTCATCTGTAAGGAATTTCTACGAAGATCAACGATCAACGAGCCCTAGTTAACAAACCAGGATAAATACTATCTTTCATTACATTAATTCTTATTGTTAATAATTGAGCAAATATCAAAGAAGGCCACGATGGACAACGTTGAAGAAGACTAGAGCGGATAGCAGATGGGCTTTTTGAAAACTGACATTCAGTTGTCAGTTTTTCAAAGTTCACCTTTGCGGTTTGTAACTTCGAATATATACGCTTGGAAAACAAATATTTGAAGATAAATATTGCTAAATAATTTTAATTATTATTCTCTTCTTAAAAGAAGAGAAATGAAATAAAATAAACGGGACCAAAAAATCATAAGTAGTTCAATTTCAATGGTTGCATCTGCAGGACCTTACACACGTCGGACTGTATTACATAGCTGCCTACATAATTGTCTCCGAGATTGCAAGGGTTAAAAGACTATCTGAAGCTGAAATCAGCAAAAATACTTGCCTTCACCATCCCTCTCAGCATAGCTTATCCTCATCTGCATACGGCGTGTCTTGGGACTGTATGAAGCACTCACTTCTTTTCTTAAGACAACAGGTTGCTTGGAAATTTCATCTTTAGCTTCTTCTGATTCTGGCGAGGACACTTTCTCCGCTGAAATGATAATGGACACCTTGATAAACTACCCAGAGCTCACTTTCGCTTTTAACGTCAAAGATAATATCATGGTTGATAAACTACTCCTTAATTCTGGCACGAAATTTCGAAATTTCAGCGTTAAATTATGAATTGACTTTTGAAATTACAAAATTGCTATAACAAGGTTCCAGGTTTAAAGTGCTACGAATGAAGATGTCAGGGCTTGAAAAGACTCTGTAAATAACCTAAACACAGGAAAGCGCACACTTTTCTAACGAGCATTTTGTCGACAAATTCAGAAAATTAGGAACTTTAAAAGTATGCTTTCAACTTTTCGGTGAATGGAGTTCACGATAAAATAAGCAAACAAAGGATAACCTTCGAGGGTAATTTGGCACCCATGATATTAACACGCGCGTTGACCAAATTCTAATTATATCCCGAGTCTTGACAAATCTTACTTGAAAGACTTTCCTAATTTTACTCGTCATCATTTGATACGATTACACAGGCGTATTGTAGAATTTGACACTGTTACTGTACAAAGTCTATAGGGTCAGTTAGGAAGGGACCTAAATTAGCCTCCCATGCAGACGTTCTTCGTGCTTCGTCTAGAACGTCTGCGTGGGAAGGCCACAGGTAAATGTACATTATAAATTGAGTGCGGACTTGACGTTACCTTGGCAGTACTTGTAATGGAAAGCGAACCTACCTCCCCTCTCTTTGTCCTTATCTTCTGGTTTGGATTCAGTGTCTTTTCCTTTATCCTCAGCAACTATCACACTTTCTGGAGCTGCCGTGTCACTGACTTCAGTTTTTGATTCAGCATACTTTTCCCCTACAGAATCTATCTGAGTTACTGCTCCCTCTGCACCATCATGTTTGCCTTCAACATTTGTTGTTTTTATCTCTGAAGTTGCATCAGCTTCTTCAGATATTCCTTCCTCTAACTTGTCTGTTGCTGTTGTCTCTGCTTCTTTTCCTTCCTTTTTTTCCTTATCAGTTAATTCTTCTTCAACAGTTTCTAAAGTTTGACCAACAGCTTGGCTGGTCTCACTCTCAGTCACTTCTGACTTTGGAGATGTGGCGTCTTCCTGCCCTTTCTCAGCACCAGCATCTGTTACGTTACTTTCTATTGCAGGCGGTGCATCCTGCTGTTCTTGGACTTTATCACCTTCCGCAGAAGCACTCGCCGACCCAAGGTCCTTAGTTTTCTTGCTCTTTCGTCGCGCAAAGAAGCCACCAAAAATACCAGAAGTTTTCTTCTTCTTAGGTGACGGCTGAGAGTTTGCTTCTTCCTCTGAGGGCTCTGTGTGAGCACGTTTAACAGCTTCCTTATCAGAGTCTTGGTTCTCCACCTCTTCCTCCTTTGGTCCTTCAACATTTTCTTTGCCCTTCTCTGATGGGGCGCTTTCTATCGACACTGGTTCTTCTTTAGCCTCTTGTGTTTCAACCGGAACTTCCTTTGCAGCATCCGCCGCAGCCTGGGAAGTTTCTTCGATATCTTCTCGACTTTCAGCTTCAGCGGTAGGTTTCCCTTCAACATTTCCAGTTTCTTCCTCTTCTCCAGTAGCTGCCTTGCTCTCAGTTTCGTGCTTAGTATCAGCTCCACTGGAATCTCCTACCTCAGTAGATTCCTTGCCTTCACTTTCTTGCTTAGTTTCTGGGCCATCCTTGCTGCCCTCCACCTCTGCACTCACCACGGCTTCAGTTGCTGGCTTTATCTCAGCACCATCACTGGTCCCTTTTACCTCTGCTTGCACATTGGCGACGTCCCCAAGAGGCTCTGACGCATCTTTGACACCAGTATCATCACTTGTGTCAGGAGCAGCTGGATTAGTTTCGGGTGTTTCCCTCATTTCAGTATCTTTACTACTCGGACTAGCTTCAGCCTTCTTCTCTTGATGTTCTTTATCTTGATCTTTACCACTAGAGCTGGCCCCTGGAGGACTTTCTGGACCCCCTTTAGACTTTTTACGCCGCCCAAACAGGGTGTCTATGACAGACCTTTTCTTTGGAGTGGTTTGTGGACTTCCTTCTTTGGTTTTTCGAGGGCCCTTTGGTGAGCTTAAAATAAAACAACGAAACGCCCCTTCAAATATCAGTGAAATTTTAACTGAATCCATGTCAACAAACTTTCCCTTTGAGATCACAGCATTGCTAGATAATTAAGAGAACACTGCCAGTCGTTTAACGCCAGTGTAATGGATTGACAGATTCACTTTTTTCAAGAGTTTTCTTCATGGGAGCACACTGATGAAAGCTTGTGTAGCTACAGGTTTACATCACAATTCTTATGCTTAAAAACACAGCTCTTTGAAACAAAGTACCATAGCTTATTGCACACATAGCAGCACACTGATTAGTCATGGTTGAAATCAAACTTTTTATGTCGTTTACTTGTTCTCACATCATGGAAGTTATAAAACAAATAGTAAATATAACATCACGCTTCTGAGAGCTACGGATTCACCAGGGAGGTTTGTTATGCACACTGCTCAAAAAGTTAGTCAATATTGGCTGTTGCCTCGAGTGAGTCTTGCATGTTAGTGTATGTAAGCAAACCCAGCAGTACAAAAGGCCAAAATTGATTAGTTCACGCAATAAGTGCCGAGCATGCTGCTAGCATTAGTATTGTTGACAGCATCTTTTATGGTGACAAATACCAAGACAACATGATGCAATGTTAATTGTGGCATGGCTGAGATAAAAATTAATTCTCTATTTGTCACCAGGTGAATCCATGATGTTATGTCCAAAATTGTTTTTACAATAACTGAGTGATTTCTCGCACACTGATTGGTGGGGAGCTGTAATGGTCGATATAAGTGTAGACCAGGGGAATGACATGATGGTGGCACAATTTGTTTTTCTCTTTCTATGTGCCTGTTTTTCCTAACAAATTCAACAGAAACGGACATTAAATATTGTCAATATTTAATTGCAGAAAACAAACCAACAACAATGTTCCATAGCCTATACTCTTTATATTGACCATAGAAATGAAAACCACTGGCCTGCAGCTCATGGTTCCTATTGTCTACATAATATTAAGTTGTTACACTGATACATGTAATATTAAGACCTTGCCTTTTCACGCTGATACCTACTTTGATATAATTGGTACTCGGTGCACAACCCCACCCACAATACTTGTAGAGTAACTGACTACCTCCTCAGGTTTTTCCTTTGTTGGGGTATCATCCGTGACATCTGTGTACCAGATTGTCATTGACCTTGCAGCAACATCTTCCTACTCAGAAATAAACAGACATCTATTGTCAATGGAATATGTCTTCTGCATATGGGTGTATAGCCTACCACACAGGCGTTTTTAGGGGAGCTCGTTTTTCATCCCTCCCCACAAACGCCTGCTCAAGCGAAAACAACATCCTTTTCCATTGTTTTGTTTGCATGGTAAACACTAAACACGACTGAAACGTGACCTTAGAGTTACCGTTTTCCTTCTTTTCTTTCCTTTGCTAAGGTTATGCAGTACATGGAGTATTCTAAAATTTGACTAAATCTTAGTTTTTCCACTCTCAATCTAACATTTATTAGAGGTAAGAAAGCTTTCTCAGTGTTTCATGCAGATCGAGTAATTATTAGATTACCCTGTGGTCAAGGTCAACTTTCCAGAATTTGGAAAGTACAATGTGATTGGCTAAGCTTGGGAAAGGAAGGTTGTCTTTGGTTGAGCAGGCGTTTGTGGGGAGGGATGAAAGACGAGCTCCCCTAAAAACGCCTGCGTGGGAGGCTAATGGGTGTATTTCAGGATGCTGCAGATAAACAACATTGGAAATAAAAAGAGTTAAAGCTCTCCACAACAGACACCTTGGGAAAAGAGAAGGTGGCCATTGTGCTAATATTGTATCCACTGCAACAACAAAGGCCTTTGTTGAGAGGTGCCCATAAGTAGAGGTTTGAATCTACTTCAAAATACAAATAAATGAGTGTAAAATCTGAAATGGTGTAGGATCAGGGCAAAAAGTTGAGACATCGAGACGTTTCTCGAAAGTAGTGATAATTAATGGGCCCGGTAAGGTGTTGTTTTTACATTCAAGATCGAGGTTTCAATAGCTTTGTATCTAAAATGATAAATTAATGAAACAAAATGGAGCATTTTGCTAGCCAGGACCTGGGCTCTTATTCTTTATATTTCGGTTTGAATATTTCATTTCGGGCCCGAAAAGTTACCGGGAGGTTCGAGAAACAGGCCTCAGGGCTGAATTTAAGACCCTGAGAACCTCCGACCCCTCAGAAGCTTGGTATACTGAACCCTAGCAATACTGCTCTCTATCTTTGAATTTCTTTAAAGAGGAAACAAAGCAAAAGAGTGATATTGAGCACCTTTTGACACTTAGACCCCTACAAGCAACTAGAATCTTGTGTCTCCTTCTGACATAATTATAACAGTCCAATCAAGCAAAAGGGTCTGCTGGCCAAGAGCATAAACAGACCAAAGCTAAAAGCCAGGGTTCTCTGGAGAGCTCTTGCACCTGGCGAAAATCACTTTCTAGCTTTCACAGAGCTGCCAGCTACTCACAGAAAATAATATATCCATCATATTTCAAACAATTTTTTTCCTAACACTTTTGTTTGGTTAATAATGGTGGCATCCTCATGGCTAAAATTTCTTTTGTTGGTCGCCCAAAATGCACTGAAATGCACTTGTCAGTAACCCCTAAATTCCCACAATGAAATGGGGCAGCCTTCCCCGCCCCCCTCTTCCATACCTATCCCTACTCCAGTTGTGCAGACATGATTTTCGATCTAATAAGTTGCTGCCTAGTCAATGTTTTTCCTTTTTACTTCAAATTTTCTGGAGAACCCTGTACAATCCACATCTAACTTAGTTACTGGTTAGATTTTCTAGTCTTCTCGGATAAGGAAGAAAAACCGTAGGTCCCGACTTTGACCTATCTGGTTCTTGTGGGACATAAAAAAAGCCACACCACCGTTCAAAAAGAGTAGCTAGGGATGTAGACCCCGGTGGTGAGGCCAACCTTTCCTGGGCTGGGAGGGTTATCTGTTAGGAGATCTTACAATTTTAATATAGGGATTAATCTCATGATCCTCCTTCAGGTGTCGTAATGGCTACCTGTAAATAGTTTATGTATGTAACTATGTATGTATGTAATTAGGGCATCATACATGTATCCGTAGGTACATGACAGTACCTTAACAGATGATGTTGCACTGCCTTCAATATCTCCAACTGTCTTTGATCGTCCCTTTTGGGTCTTGTCATCTTCACTTTTGTCTGCGTCTTTTGCAATCTCTGGACTGTCCATGGTTACCGATCTTCTCTTCTCCACAGCATTATGGTCTTCAGCTAATAATGACAGTAAAATTAATAATAATAACAATAAAATATATTGTTATTCATTCAAAATATTTCTCTGTCTCTGATTGGCTCAAATCCCATGGATAATTCATCATAACCAGCTACTGTTGACCAAATTTGGAAGAATTTTGCGATATGTGAAAAAATGACGTCAATTCTACAGCATAATTGCCAGAAAACTTTACAGTTAACAGAGAAGACCTGGGGACGAGGTTGAGTTGGTTTGGTAGTGAGTACAAAATGGCAGAACATCTCACTTGCTTCGAAAGGAAGAAATTGGCAAACTATTGGGTAAAAACAAAGTAAGGACAGCAAGAATACAACTCCGTGGATGCATGACACTCACTTTTTGGAGAATATTTGCAGAACTGGACAACCCTTTATCTCCTAAACTTGCTGATAAACAGGCAACTGAAGATGATCTTAACATCGATGGAGGTATTAAAGCATGTTTTAGCTTGTTTCTAAACTAGGAATTATTTTGAATGAATAATGAAACAATTATTGGCTTTGGCTTACGTATCATCTGAAGAATTCTGGAGATCTCGAAGAGTGTTATCCGCAATCTCGATCTCCATAATTCTTCAAATGATACTCAGCCTCATCCAGTAATTGTTAATTATAATATAACTCATTGGTGAATATCAGAGGTATACCAGCAAATAGCTACACACAGATCACTATAAAGACAACACAAGAATCAGCTAGCCAGCCAGAAGTTTGCAAATCTAGATATTATATGTACTGGATATCAAACTGGGAGATGCATGTTCTGTCAATTACTACTTGGGTCAGAGTGTCTGAAAGAGGTGAGCATTATAAAAAATTGCACTCAATTTTGATTTCTCTACACTACAAATATGGGTGTCTGTAAATTTTAGCAACTTTGCAGAGCTCTATTTTCTCTCGCTTATGATGTATCACTTTCAAACTTGGCGATTTTACTAGTTTTAAGCTACTCTTTGCAGTGGTGCCGAACGATTTTCCCTGACTGGTCCATGTCAAAAGTTGAAAAAAGCATGGAAGGGTCTATTAGGTCGATAGCTCAAGTGTATTAGTAAAATCCAACTAGTGGTCTATTATCAATGCTGAGTTCTGATTGGTTGAACAACTACTAGGCTATATGTTATAGCCCACTAGTAGAGAAAAGCGCCGGCTTTGAAAACCAAAACAGTGGTGGCTGAATCACGTTTTGCTAGCTAAAGTTGTTTTGTCTTGATATTTTTGATCAACTAGTTGGATTTTACTAAAACCCTCGTGGCCTCTGAGACAATAGCCCATTCAGCCTTCGGCCTCATAGGCTATTGACTCAGAGCCCACTCGGGCTCGAGGAATAATTGTTAATTACCTAAACCTGTTACAAAAGTGACACTGTGCAAGTGAGATGTTACCTCCTGTTAGTGGGCACACTGGGGCCTGTTACGAGAGGTATCCACTAATATAAAGGGAGGGTCTGAGTGTCTGATTTTGGAAGGTGTCCAAATAAATTATATCAAGTGGTTTGCAGGGTGCAAAGAAGGTCAGTTTTCTGGCTCGCCATTAGGGCAAATTGTTGCTAGTATGTACTAGCCCAAAAATTTTTTTGATAAGCATTGATTACATTTTTACTGTAATTTGAATTTTTCAAAAAACTTTACTTGCCCTTTGGGCAAGTTAAGAACAGAATTCACAACCCCGATTGCAAAATCCACTAGTCCTGGGCTACTGGACACGACTTCCTTTGCACACTGGGTTTGGCTGTATTATCAAAAGGCTAAACACACAAATGTATGGGTAACTGGGTATATTTCTTGTATTACCTATTTTGGCTGCCTGACCACTCTCTTCACTGGGTCCGTTTTGATGCTGATCTACATTCTGTTGTTCTCCAGCTGTAGTTACAACTGGAACCTCAACTGCTTCTCCGTTAGCTTCAGTTTGAGTACTCTCCATTTCACCGGGCACTGTTACCTCTACTTTGACTTCTTTGGCTTCCTCTCCATTGACTTCCATAGCAACAGGACTCTGTTCTACATCCTTGCTTCCATCTAAAACTTCATCTTGTTTACCATTTTCCTCCATGGTGACAACTTCTTGACTCTCTTTAGCCTCTTCTATTTCAGCTGAAGTTTCACCCTGTTCAATGCTTGTCTCCATGGCAACAGCTACATGTTCTTGTTGATCGTCCTTAATTTCAGTGGTGGCTTCAGCTTGTTCTCCACTTCCCTCGGCTACCCTGGTAGTAGGACTCCCTTCAGGTTCCTTAACATCACCTGATGTTTCATCTTGACCTTCTTTTGTCTCCATGGCAACAGTTTCAACACTCACTTCAGACTCTTTATGCTCATCATTTTCCTTCCCAGCATCCTCCTCAACACTTTCGCTTTTAACATGTTTGTCATCTAATATCTCTTGTTGAGTTTCACTGGTTTTTTTTTCTGTGGAAGTATCTCCTAAATTGTCTGACACTTCACTCTTTTTCTGGTCGTCAAAAGGCAAATCAATACCATTAAGAGTCACTTCTGCAACTGGAGATTGTTCTTCTTTATTTTCACTGTTGTCATCTTTTACTTCCTCTCTTGTCTCACCCTGAACAGATACAGTTTCTTTTTCTGAGATGCCCCTTATTTCCTCTACAGGTGGGCTATGATCCTCTAAGACGTCTTTTCCAGGGGAATGTAAGTCACTGCCATCACTAACAGAGCTGATAGGCTGTTTGTCTTGTTCAGAGTCTACACCAGACATCTTATCCTTATGTATAAAACTGTATATGTTTTGTATTTTGTATTTACCAAATCATCCTGCATGTAAGGAAAAAAATGTGCATAGTTAATTATATTTACTGGTAATAAAACAACTAGCAATTAAACATGTACGGCCTAATTTTAAAAAAATGCTTCAAGAGACTTATACTGAAAATAATGGTCATAGCCTTAGGGTGTGTTCACTAGAAGATTTTCTGGTACATTAAAAATCCCAAATCTAAAGATTGCTTGAAATCAGAAATAAGGCAAAGAAAGTACTGTTTTGATCTGGTGAATCGGGCAAGTGATGTTTTATTTTTGAACAAAAAAGGATTCACTGAACTGCTATCTTACAAATCGTGTTACATAAAAAAATCCCTATGGAAGAATGGCCGACATTCTTTAGATAATTTTCAATTTTAACTGTTTTATATGTTCCAGATTAACGGATTAGTGATCTACGCATAATTTGTTCCATTCACAGTGGATCCGAAATTAGTCAGATGATCCTTGGATGAAAAAGCGGTATTTCCAGTTTTTGAAAAAGTATAAAAAATAGCTAAGGTGGAAATTTTCAGGCTCACCTATCAAAGGTAACAACTACTAAGGCCAACAGAAATTCAGATAGAGGCAGTCAGAGGCCAATGGAGGGTCATTGGCAAAAATTCTGATCCACCACAGTCCCACTACCCTTGGCAACAATAAAAAGTGTGGTTCCACAAACATCCATACCAAGCAAATGGAGGGTCATTGGAAATTCCAACAGGGAGGGTGAAAGGAAAGTAGGAAGCAAAACTGAAATGTCCTGCTGGCAGGGAGCTTTAAATCGAAAAGCCCTCTATGGCGGGCATATGGATATTTTCTGGAAGTACACAATGACAGTAAGACAGGGTTTTCAGTAAGATTTTAAATAGGTGGCAAAAGCTAGGGAGTAGGCAGAGAAGGAAACAACTTGCGCCACAAGTGCAAGTTACTAGGGGGGTCCAGGAGCATCCCCCTGGAAAAATTTTGAAATCTGGGCCTCTTAGGGCAAAAATTTGCCTCTGGGGCAAAAATTTGAGTATTTGAACAGAACAAAGACATCATTAAATTTTGGCTATTTTGGGGGTAATTTCCAAAGAAAAGTTGGCAGTGAGTTCACATAAAATAGCCAGAAAATTTTGCCTGCCGTCAGCTCTTATTCAGAACCCTGGTAAAATGCAACAGTGTATGTTTCAGTAACAAGAGAACTTGACGCATTGTGCCACTGTCAATGTTGCCATCAACAAATCCAGTTTTAGTCGCCAGCCTGGATTTTAACAGAGTTCCCTTTACCAGGCTGAATCAAGACATTAGCAAGCGCTAAAGGCCAGCCCACCTTCTCATATAAACACAACAGACATTTTTATAAGGACATAAGGCACGAGCCAAGCCATCCCTGTAAAGTGGGCCAGCCAGGCTAACTGGGCTGGCTTACCTCATATAAACATGCCTTAGTCATTACTCATTCAAAATATTATGGTACTGACTTTATGAAGAGTTGTGGTTTGTTTGCAACCACCACAGTACAATATTACAGATATGATACACAAATTATAATTTTAGAATTCATTTACACATGTAGTCTCTAGATTCATAAATGAAAAACATAAATATATTTAAAAACAGAACCAAAAATAAATGGAAACTTAAGAAAACCTTTTGACAACTCTGTTCTGTCTTTTTCAAGTTGTTGAAACATCGACTGAAGTTTCCATTATTTTGTTTCTGCATAAATATATTATCATAATTTTTTCATTTATCAGTCCAGAATTTAAAAGCCTCAGTCCATGTATGAATAACTTATCTTATATTGAAAGATGTGTGGAACAGTATTAAGATTTCCGTACAGCCCCATACATCTATTATACATGCATGATTCGGGTCTGTTCATGTTAACTGTTTGTGCGAAATAGCGTGAAATTGCTGCATGCACGGAAATATTACAGATTTTTCTTTTATAACTTACTGTTCTATGCATGCAAATTTGCTGCCGAGTTGGTAATAAAAATTTAAAAGATGGTGTGATATCTTTTCTTTGTCAATTAATAACTACACAGCTTATAATAGAAACTGCGCTCACACAGTAGTTTTGTTTATGAGAGCTTTTGAAGAAAGTTATTGATTTGACATGCAGCGACCTTTACAATAAATTGAGTTCATTCGCCATGACCTGTGACCAAATATAGTAAGCTAATAAGCTCAAGTTTGCCTTCAACGACAACATTGTCTCACGCTAAAAGTTGTGACACTTGAGGTTATCAAAGTCCAAAACAATAAAAATTATTGCAATAAAAAGGCTACAATCAACATTATACGATGGCACTTCAATACTGCGTAACAAAAAAGGGCTCTGAACGAAAGGTAGCGGTGAAATGTAACATATATTGCAATCGTAAACGGTACACTGCACAATTCGATCGATCACGGTTAATTCCTTCGGTCAAAATGGAAAGTGCCTTCGCAATGAGTAATCAATGGCAATTAATTCATCCACGCTAGTAATGGATTAAAAATTTATCAACTCCTGAAGTAAATCAAAACACTAATACAACGCCCGATACAGCGAATTTGATTGCATTACTAACATTCCTGAATACTGCAGGACAAAACGCTTACACAAGGGCCATGGGATAGACGTGCTTATTGACACACAAACAAGGAAATAATTTTAAAAAAACAGCTGGAGTAACTTCATCAAATTATGTATGCACCAATATATAAAACATTAACCTGTTCAAGTCCTTGTTAAGGCTGCTAACAGTTCTCGAGCTAAGACAACGAGATTATAATGCTCATTTCGCCGCCACGTTGACGATATTTTTGACGAGCTACCAGGCAACACCCCAGAAACAGAAACCAAAACCCGTTTGCCAACGCTATATTAACCAAGCGGAAGCTTATAAGCATAGTACTTACTTGTCTTGAGGTAGAAGGCCTCTATTCCCTCTGAAAGAAGAATGAAATTCAAAGCTTCCGTACGCAAGTTCCTTATACACCCAGTCATATCATGATCCTGTCACGATAGAGACTGAGCCTTGGAGGCTGAGTACTAACGCTACAAAAAACACGCTCGGAATGACGGGTAGGCAGACCGACAACTTCAATAAAAACCTCATTAACTAATCTATGTAGTTCATTGTTTGATATTCTAAAAAAGAAACAAAAGGTACAATTGAACATGTTAAATGGTCTGTTTAAAATGGAAATAATATATCTTGTGCAATAAACAGTCTAAATAGGCATCGATTTCAGGCAATATTATTGGCGAATTGATATTTGCTGACCCTCGACTTTTTTCCGAAACACATTACGCAGATAAACCTGAAGGGAGTTTTGTCAAATAATTTAAGGTATTTTCAGCACTTGCAATTCAGCCGATTTCAGCATGCGATTACCCTTCCCCAATTCACCCTACCATTCGCCCGTTTTCTCTTCGGACTGTCCTACAAAGCAACTTGCAAAGCGGGGGCGCTGCCCGAGGGCGAGCGGCGAGGGGGGGGGGATGGGTACTCCCTTATATAAGCTATAAAAGTATGTGCCAATACGCGACACAGAATAGCTCTCACAAAACTGCGACTTAGCAACCACAAATTAGCCATAGAGACAGGACGTTATTCGAGACCGTTTAAGAAACTTGCAATTGCCCAATTTGTAAAATAGAAATGCAGGACGAATTCCATTTTCTAAATATATGCCCTGCTTACCAGGAAAACTAATAGCAAAACATATTTTCGAATTCTTTGAAAAAAGGAAAGGGGAAGAAGGCAAAAAGTAAATACTCTAGGACTTAATTAATTAATAACTTATTAGCCATATATCGATTAGGAATTTTTTGTTGTTTGTAATTTTAGTTATTCTGGAAATAGTTGATATTCTATTTATTGTATAAGACTCCAAATAACTATCAGTATATGTATGTATGTATGTGCCGCCCCATTGCGCCGTTTTGGTCTGGAATCGAGAATGGTTTTTGCGGGAACTAGGGGAGTATATGAATGTATTTATCGTTTTAATTCCACATGCGGAGCAAGAAAGAAACAGAAATATGAGAATTCGAAATGGACTCAACAATTTTTTTGTTTGCGCTCTAAGTAATGGTAATAGGACTGAGTGGAGTCCAATTCGGTCTGTAATCATAACTATAACAAAATTCTTAAATCTGATTGGCTATCAACTGCCCTGATTTCAGCCTTAATAGGACAGTTAAATAGGACAGTACGCGTCATGCCTAAGTAATTGTACAGTACGCGCCATCACGCGCGCGCTTAAATGGCTTTTTTTTTTCACTGCTAGCAAAAAATCTCGGAATTTCTTGTGTTTTGATTAAAAAAAGGAGCCTAATATATCACAAATTTTGTTAAAGTTATGATTAATTGGTAACAGAACTTCGTCTCGTGATTAAACAAATCGGACTCCCGCTACGCGGTCGTCCGATTTTGTTAATCACTCGTATTATTACAGACCGAATTGGACTCCACTCAGTCCTGTTACCATTACTAATCATACGAGTGATTAGCAAAATCGGACGACCGCGTAGCGGGAGTCCGATTTGTTTAATCACGAGTATGATTAGTAATGGTAACAGGACTGAGTGGAGTCCAATTCGGTCTGTAATCATACGAGGGATTAACAAAATCGGACGACCGCGTAGCGGGAGTCCGATTTGTTTAATCACGAGTATGATTACAGACTGAATTGGACGACACGAAGTTCTGTTACCAATTAATCATAACTTTAACAAAATTTGTGATACAATAGGCTATTTTTTAAACCAAAACACAAGAAATTCGAAATCCTGTTTTGCTAGCAGTGAAAAAAAAGCCATTTAAGCGCGCGGGTGATTGCGCGTACTGTCCAATTACTTAGGCATGACGCGTACTGTCCTATTAAACTGTCCAATTAAGGCTGAAATCAGAGCAGTTGAGAGCCAATCAGATTTGACAATTTTGTTATAGTTATGATTATGTAAGTAATAGGCTGATTTAGCAACAGGACGGGAACGTCAGTTGACGACGGCGCGCGCAAATCAAACAACTGGCTTGATCAATGGCAAAGAGGCAAATTGAGCACCAGAAGTCGTGTTTAGTCCTTTCTGCGCGCTTTCCCGTCGTCAACTGACGTTCCCGTCCTGTTGCTAAATCAGCCTAATGACAGGGGCCGATTTCTTGGTAATGATAACATAATTCCTGCCTAAAGGCAAGGTCTGAAAACGGGTGTGGTTTTTAGAGGTCTGGTCTGAAACCGGGTGTGGAAAATAACATTATTTGGTCTGAAATAGGGTCAGGATTTGGAGAACCGGGCGGCACACCTCTGCCAAGATTTCCCAGGAGTACCCCCGCGAGGGAGGGGGGGCTGCACCCTGCAAGCGCCTGCAAGCGGAATATTCACACACCTCTGTGGCTTTTGATTGAACGTATCATTTTTCTCACACTTGAAAAAACATCGTTTGCGATTCTGATTGGACTTATCACTTTTTAACGTTGGCAAAATCTCGTTCGCTCCTCTGATTGGATGGAACTCATTTGCGTTTAAAAACTTACGACATAGCTTTTCAGTGAGTATATCTCACTATGTATGTACAGTATAGCCTGCGTAGCAAGAGTTTTCGCGCGAGTTTGTCGTGAAACTTGGGACGAGAGCAAAAAAGAGTAATACTTTCCTGACCCAAACGCGTTTGCAGGGTCCTCTCTTCAACTTCAACTTTATTAAATAAAAATATTGATTACAATAGACTGGCCCGCAAAATAGCAATTGCTAATCTAGGGGGACCAGTTAAAAGAAAAAGCTGAATGGCGCATCGAGTACGCCCCCTTGAGAAAAAATCAAAATTTCTGGTACCTTCACCAGGCCCATATCTCCAGGCCTATCACCACTAAAACTACCGCCTTAAAATACGCCTGGTCCCTTGCGAGAACAAAACGCTGTGTTGGAGTGATATTGGGAGACTGCAGATTTCTATCGATGTAGTCAGATAATTGAGCAAGTTTGTCCACAAAAAATGGGGAAGCTTGTTTCGGCGTTACTCTTTCTTGTAGCTGCTCAGCCGTAACTAAACGGAGATAGTCCTTAACAGATTTATCTCCAGCTGGGTTTCCAAGGCCAAGGCGTCTATCCCATTCCCCGTTACGCCCAATAGCGTGGAAGATCGCCCGTAATTTACCAATATGATACGAGTCTACAGTTTTATAGGAAGGTCTTAACGGGCAAACACATTCAAAGGTGCCTCTCTCCCCCAGACGATGGCATCCGTTACGATGAACCTGGGTTTTCCCATTCTTGTCTTTATGCATCAAGAAACGGCAAATATCGCTTGGTGTAACAGTTGAAACTGTAATAGAGCCTGGTAGAGAGGAAAGGAAATTTTCTAATTCCCTTGAAAGCGAAGCTTTTTGTTTAGTGTAACCAATTGCTTGATCAAACAAGGCCAATTGTCGAAGACGATCATCAATAGCGTTCGCATCCACATCGAAAGGCGTACTACTTTTGTTGTTTAAGATTTTCCTTTTATAGCCGCATCGTTGGCAATTAAAAAGCGGAAATCGGAATCATTGGTATAGCTACAATTTGGACACCTCACAGAAGGAGTGAACAGCTTTGCGACCACAGGTAAATCGTGGTAAAAGGAAGAAGAGGAAACGTTAATATGAGAGACATTGAAGTTTTATTCTATCAAGGTATACAATACTAGTAGAACGTACACTTTCCACGGGACAAGGTGAAATTTACAAAGCAATTGCAAATGCATTTATAGTTACTGTTCAAATAAATTACAAGATATGCTCTAATATCGCACACCAAAAGCCCAGAGATCCCTAGGGATCCCAGGATGGGGAATAAATCCTTGTTTGGAAGGTAACAAAAGTGCCCAAGCCTCCCCCTTTATTGCTAATCTACACGATTTACTGCCACAACTTTGGATAAGAGGCCACCAATACTTTTTCGGATAAACATCCAAGGCTATGACCATGCACGACCGCCCGTGGGATCTCAGAAAACGCAGAACAGGACCCATCAGAGAGTGAGGCGGAAAAACGTAGGGACACTCCAGAAACGGAGCTCCACTTGATAGATCTTGCGCAAAGAAATTGACACCAAAAGACTGCGGCGACGGGTGGGGCGTAAAATGCGGTAAAAGCGAACCATCCTGGTCTGTCATTGCGTTCGAATCAAGTGGCATCAAGTCACACGTGTGTCCCTTTGGACCACCAAACTCTTGTTGTACTCTTTGCCATAACTTCGGATGAAGTTTTCAATCAAGGGTTGTCCGACGGCGAGAGGGTGCGTCCGCTTCATTTTCTTTTGATGGGATATACATCAGATGGAGGGCAATATTTAACTTTGAAGTTGTGAAAAATAACTTCTTAATCGCCCTGTTCAAGGACATACTCCTACCCTCTTGTCTTTGCCAGGAGTAGACTACTGCCTGATTGTCAACCAGGCCATCTACCCATGCATTCCTTAAAGAGTCGGAGAAGGAAAGAAGGACCTTGTCAAGCGCCGGTGCCTCCTTTGTGGAGATATCAAGCTCTTGCTCTTCTTTGTCCAGTAGTCAGAGGCCTCAACCGTACGATCACTCAAAGTTACTGATCCACCCCAACCCGAGGCTGAGGCATCTGTTGCTAAGGATATGCGGATATGATTGTCATCTCTCCAGGGGAGTGGGTCATCCCACGTACGTAGAAAAAGCCAATGTGAGATTTCCTCCCTCAGTGCCTCATGTAACTTGATAGGTCTGGATGTGCGTAGAGCCTTGGAAATAGCATTATTCATCTCCCTGGTAAACAGAAACGCTGTGCACGCGACCCGAAATGATCCCCGACCCCAAATGATCACCAAAATCGACCTAAACACGACCCAAAATGATCCCCCACCCCAAATGATCCCCAAATTTTTTAACACGCGACCCGAAATGATACCCGAGGAATTATATGTTAATGGCCATGGTACCGACAGGAAGCGAAGACTGTTACTTGTTACAGTAAGACCCGGTGTAAACATCGCATTTCACATGTGCCAAATTTAATTCAGGTATTGAATGCGTAGGAGGTTCGGCGTTAAC